TCGGTTATTTATCGTTGGCGTAACGTAGATAATTCGGGCGGCGGGCAATTTTCTATAATTTCTTCATTATCCTAACTGTGGTTGCCCGATTCTAGCACACTTTATGCATGTTAAGATTCCTGATTCGGTTTTATAGAAATCGGCGTTTTCCAATGCCTGCCTAGCCGCCGGCTCCTTACATTTTATCTACTTAGATGACAGTTCGGAATTCTCCGGTTATTCTCCAATGAATAAATCCGTTCAAATCCTATCGGCGACAGCTTTGCTCCCAAATAACTTGAATGAATTACCGACTCCAACTTGTAGTTTGAAAATAATTTACCTGCTACTCGTCCTAATTATCACCCATATTTCAAATAAATCACTCTATTATTCATGCTTTTTTTATATATATTTATCTAAACATATCCACATTTATATTAGTTTGCTATATTCTTACATTAATAGCTCTTGACATGTTGAACTAGAATGTAAGTACAAATCAATCAATCATATTCTCATTTTAAATCATATAGCTTGCAATTACATATAATGTTTTGTCTTATAATTTTATAGACATACCCGCAATTTTTTTTCTAAATTTTTAAAGAAAAAAAAAAACAATATGCGCCCTTATTTTGACTACGTAAAAAGCTTAAATATAATTAAATAAATATATAAAGCCTTGATTACAAAAAAAATATCTTTAAAGTTTAAATTATATTTTAGTTTGTTAGTACAAGCATAATGTGTGAAAATACTACATATTTCGCAAATCATCTCAATTTTACTTAAATACAGATTCAACTACATATTTATTGATGAAAACCTGTATTAAAAGTATATTAACCTACATAATAAAACTGAATAAAATCTACCATAAATTGTACTATTTTTATTTTTAAACTTAGCTTATTTTTGCATAGAGAAATTGATTCAGTAGAGATTTTTATTCTATTATTTTTTTATAGTTTTGTTCATTGAAAATTCTGTATACAACAATACCTCGCATAGTCCGTATTCAGTATAGTTCAGTTGGAAAATTTCAAAACATAAATACACAAAAATATTTGTTTACATATAAATGATCAATATTTTCTTTTCATATTATGTAAAATCTCTTTTTGTGCGGCTCATATATTGAATTTGTTTATATCCTTGATTAGTCCGGTTTAAAATAATCAGCGCTATTGGCGAAAACGATTACCCGGACTATGCGAGTTATTGCTATATATAATGTTATTAGATCAAATAATTAATACAATATTGAATCAAGATTCAATATATAATACGAGAACTAATAATTTCTTTGAAAATCTGTTGAAACTTAAAAAAAAATACGTATAATAGCCTAATAGTAATCATTAAGTCATAATCTGTTCCTAATTGCGATTTTTTTTAGAATAGACCATGGTTCACAGCATTTTAGTGTTAATTATCTTCGCTTGGTCTGCAAAAAGGCCGATGACCTTTTTAGCGTTAATACAATTGTTTTAGTTTCGGGACTAAAGCAATGCAATTATCTATGTTTTTTTTATATATATAAACAATTTAATTAATGTGCAAGTTCATTGTTGCATCGCCTCGAGAACCAGCGTACCTTGTTTCACCTGCGATTTTATTGTTTGGTGTTTATCAAAACCAAACTGTAAAAGCTTGATGTAAAATAATTCGAAAATTTTACGGTACGCTGACTGTACGACAAGCTGCCCTTCAATGATCTCGAGAAAGTCAAACAAAGTGCATCTTGTTAAAGCTTTTTTTTCGATCTTGTTCTGTTCCTCCAATCCTCGAGCTGCGAGTGTTTATTGAACTCGTGTCGCTGATTTGATTGTTCCGGCATGTAGGCAACAATTGGTCCGGCAATCTATTTTAATTAATAAATGCAATTACAGCGAGGAACTTGTCCACCGCGATTCCATTTAGAAATGGACATATCGTACCGATCTACTACCTCCCGATGCGGCCGTTTTAATTGAGCTTCGACAACACCGAGTTTTGTAATTCGTTGCCTCATTAAAACGTAACATGCACAGATTGCAAATTTAATCAATGCTATATTATTATGATTATTATTAAAAGGCGCACAAGAATAAAAAGATGAAGGAAAAAAAAACAAACGGATAAATAAATTTAAAATAAAAAATGGGAACGAACGAATCCGAATGAATATCATCACGTTTATTGATTCAATGGTCCAGAAAACGTCGACATCGCAGTCGACTTTGCCGTTACCTCACCAATTCACACGCAAAGTTACACAAAAGCCAGCTGAGCGTAACGCAAGAAAAATCGCCGCGCCAATAAATTGGCTGCTGCAAATTAATAGCTTCCAATTATAAATTGCATTCGGATTGGAAATAGGAACGCACGCACTGGTCTCTTTCTAATCTTCGATATACCCGAGCAGAACATTATCAACGGCAAGAGATGATCATTTGCATTGTAATCCGATTAATTATCTAACCGAAATCTGTGTTGTAACACGCTTCATCGGACGTGCGTACGTTTTCGTTTTTTTTTTTCTTACTCAATGCTGGTATGGTTCTAACAACACCCGGATTTAACCTATATTTCGAACTGAAATTATTACACCAGTATTAATCATCTCCAGTAAAAACTTCGACACGTCAAAGATAATAATCAATAATTTCGCCAGTTTTCCTTCAACCGCAGCAGTCCACATTTATTTTATTATTATTTTTTTATTTTATCCAGATACACACACACACATTGAGTCAGATAGATAATCGTTTATAGTCAGTCACGATTCATATAAAACTGTATCGAATTATCAAATAAAAATAGCCATAATTCAAAAAACGAAATCTCGGCCTTAACGCAATGAAACTACAAATTACAGGGTTTGCTGCTCCTAATTCCACCCAGCCCGGTCACCAAACAAACATAACCGATTTCATAACTGAAACAATAAAATCCAACAACAGTATTATTCATCATTGGAAAGTCTACCTCAAAGGACACACTGATTGATAAATAACTTCAGGCCAAAAAAAATAACTATTTGTTTTTTTTTTGTCCCTCAACAAATAAAATGCGTATTAATAATATGCTAATGACACGTTTCCCAAATTGGTTCATTAATTCTCAGCATAGATTGATTCCACTCAACTGAGCAGATTTAGAACGAACTCTGAATCTGTCGTTTTAAGACCTTTCATTAAATGAATTATTCGCTTCAAACAATGAAACGAATTAAGAATAATTGCCAAAGAAGAAACTTTAAGTGCGCTAATGAATTGCTCGGTAAATTATTTCGACGATCTTTCTGCCTCACATATTTGATTTAATTTTTTAACATTTTTTTTTTGGTTGCATTTAGAAAGTTGCCAATCTTAAATATTCGAAATTTAATAGACTAGATCGAATTCTAATATTTGAAATTTATATAAATACAAAACTCTCTTATAATAGTTAAAAAAAATACAACAACGATGTAATTCTACTATTTAGCATATTGGAAATTTATTTGTAAATATTGATGATTATATAAACTTTTCAATTACAAAAAATTGATTTCACTTTAATCTTTCTACAGACTAAATAGAATAAAAGCGCTAATATTTCCAAAATTCTTATACTTTGTTTTTCTAGGGAAACATGACCTTACTAAAGTCACATTAAAAGTATTAAAATCTAGAATTATGAAAGAATCAAATACACTGCAAACAAATATTAATGACAATTTCCTGAAAATCTTCAAAATTTAAAGAATGAATTTAAACAAATCGATTTCTTCTATATTAAGTAAAAGTATGAAGCAAAATAATTAAGTTACACTATAATAACATTAATCAAGTTTTAACTTGTTCTATAAACTAATCTAATTAAGTCAAACAAAATGTGTATATCAATGAGATATTAAGAAATCATATTTTTTTGTGGACAAATCGATGTAGGAATAGAAATCAATGTTTTCAAAATTTAAAAGTGTTGTTAATAAACTAAATTTGTATAATAAAAGCTTTGGAACTGTTTTTATTTTATTTTAATTAACTGCTGTTCAATATTCTAACATACTTAATAGATTATGAAACCTTAATCAAAGACGCGACGTCTAATTGACAAGATAATTAATTACACTTTAGGAAATCATTAAAATCGAAATGCGTTTACACAGAGACGACCTAAAACTATTTTCAAATTTCTCTCTATTTTCTAATCTCATTTTTTTTTGTATTTTTATATATATAAAGTATTACATGCATAAATTAAATATCAAATATGTGGATCATTCGTATCTTTTAAATATTTTATTGAAATAAAATCACCTAAATAAAATTAAATGTGAAACAAAAGTATCGTTTGTTGTGTACAGTTAAGTTTATTTTTGTTTGTATCCGGTTCTAAAATTCTCGATTAGTCCGGTTTTAAAGAATCCGGGATATTGACAGAACCGATTACCCGTACTTTGCGAGGTATTGCTTTATTAGTATTGAGAATAATTGACGAATTTTGTAATAATTTTTAATATAAATTTATTTTTTGTAATATGTATTAATTTTAAGAGAATTTAAATGGAATACTTCAATAAACTACATTATAAAATAAATTTAATAAATTGGTTTTGTTGTAGATACTTGTAGAATATATAAGTATATGCCTTATTTTTAAAATAAAGTTTCTTTTCTTTATTGATATTTTCCTGAACAATTTAATTAACTGTTTAGTATGTTTCATGTTAAAAAAATATGAAATATCTTGATTTTTGAAACATTGTTCAATGCAGTTTACTTATATTTCTTCTGAATTTTCGTTTTTAAAGTTTTATTTATTTTTTCCTAGAGTAGTGATCTATTTAATGTAGGTAAGGTGTATGATACAGTGGATAAAACAAAGGGAATTTTTAAGAGTAGCGGCGCTCCGTGTGTAGTATGTACATGGTCATTATAATTTCTAGATAGATCAAGACCAAAGCCGAATATTAATCGAACCCATGGCTTTACGCAACGCACGAAAACAATAAACCGGAGCTCACTCAGTCAGTTTTTAAAGGTCGCCGGAGCGAGTAGCCTGCGCCGCTCCGTGTGCTGCTCTTACGCTACGTTACTCCGTTAGTTTAGTCGATTTTTATTACTCCTTTTTCACATCTCCAAACCGAAACAAGTTCTACCGACGCAATATTCTGTGATATTAGTGCTGTGATATAAATGTTTAATGTTTTCCCTATAATGATATTAGTATAAACTAGTGGAAATACGCGCAACGAAAAGAAAATCAAGGAAAAAAAAAAGAAGGAAAACAGCAACGTATGGAATCTGTTAGGATTATATTTCTGTTATCCACCGAGCAACGGGTCAGTAGAAGTTTTTTTTATTTCTCTCTCTCTATATATATATAATCTGAAAGTGTTTCTTTTCCAACTCCAACTCATTATATTCCGTTCCGTGTACGCGTTCGGATTTAACGTCGAATTTAACTCGTGTTAGCCACCTATTGGCTTACATCAAACGCATCGGATTCACTGCTCATTAGATTAGATATAGCAAAGCAATTCTGAATATAATTTATGCGAAGGAATGCATTTTTTTCCTGTTTTCTACGGAGATCAAATCGAGTTCAGACCGGGAGACTTCGACGAGGCGGCAGGCGGGAAACCCGCGATTCCGAAACGCAAAAAAAGGAACGCGCCGTATCGAAATAATAAGAATAGCAGCGTAATTTCTACTTGTCGCAATGAAAAATGTGTAGCTTTTTCTTATTATTATTTTCTGCTTATTATTACTTTTTTTTTCGAGCGAAATGAAAGTCGTGGAATTAAAAAAGAAAAAATGTGAACAGGAGGAAAAAAAAAAGCAGAGACGTTACGGCGCGGGCTGGTTATTAAACAATGCTAAAGTGTGTTAATTGTAGCAATGAAAACTAATTACAAACTATAAAAATTTCGCTCGTAACTCATATTACGAACAGTTTGACAAGTCGCAAAAAAAAAAAGTAATTCTTTAGATACGTATCTATATTTAGTGCTTGAATATTGGCGTTTTAATATCACCTTAGTGCGAGGTTACGAAAATATATCGAAGTGAAATTAATTATTCACTACCGCTGCACCGTGTCGTTTACATATATTGCTCTTATTTTCGCTGCGGTTCGCACTAATTTATCTACGTAGATTTATTCGCAATATGCGCGGTCCGCGGTAATTTAGATCGCGTAGATAATTCAAAACCGGGCTCGTGGATGTATTATACCGATATTTATTATGTATCGACCATTGATTGACAGTTCACGGATTAAATGGTAGCTCGGCCGTTTTCTATTCAACTATTTGGTTTTGATTCCGATTTATAAGTCGTTAAAATTCTTCGCTGCCAACGCATAAGAACATAGTCGAAACACAAAAAAAAAGAAAGAAAGAAAAGAAAAGCGACGAGGCTCCAACAACCAAACCGGCGATTTTTATCGTGGAACGTCATCAAAGTTCTTTAGGAAACCGAAAAATTTCCGCCCCAGAAAATACCAAATTAATCACCAAATAAATTAAACTTAACTAGTACAACAACTCGCTTTTTTTTCTATGTGTTCGTTTGAATAGGAACTAATTGCATTTCTCTAAACTAACCGATTTATAATTTCAATGTTAAACAGTGATTCAGTTTACCGAACGGAATACGAAAATAAAAAAAAAATAAATGACCTTATTCGATTCGAAACGAACGAATTTCAATGCTATCTCCGTTTCGGATCTGCTATACCGTTGTTCCCGGTTATTAAGGGTTCTGGAAAAACCGGAAAAGGTACCATTAAGAATACGCGTTAATTGATGTGTCACGAATGAGTATGTATGTGCGTAGGTTACGAGTTACACGGACGCCATTGTAGATGCATGACAATCGTCGCGCTTCCAGACAGAAACTGGTCTCTCTTAATCCTCAATCAAGATTCCAACAATTATATTATCTGCAGCTGAACCATCCTTATTGGTTTATGGTGGAGTTTGTTCTTTCGTTCGTTTTCAAACTGGCGTTGGGTTACAGGGAAATCTTGATAAAGAAGGTTGCGGCCGCCGGGCATCCAAAACACACGCCGCCATACATATTCATCCAAAGGAACGAGACAAGACTTTCAATGCTGTACACTCGACTTTAATTATACTGGAAAAACTTTGTTTATTTGTCTAGATTGAACTTTCTTTAATTATAAATCGTTCATTCAGTGCCGTACACTTTTTGCTTCTGCTTCAAATACACGCCGGTGAAATACGCTATAAATTTCGAAACAAGAAAATCGTATTGAGACGTTCTCTCGGAAAATTACTATAGAAATTGTTATAGATCATACGTTATTGCAAAATTAACCTAAATTCTATTTCCTATTTATTATTCTCTACGCATCATTCCAATTAACATGTCAAGTATAATATAGTATGTTGATAAAATACACATTAAAATACTTGAACATAAAGCAAGTAAACACAAGTAAAACAGAAAAAGTAGTTGACTTTTTACTTTGTCTTTATATCAAGAACTCTAGATTTACGAAACAGTTCAATTTCTGTATTCGCAAATACTTTTAATTTCTAGAAAAATAAATAAAATACTGAAAATATTCAAAAGACATATAAAATGTAATAAATAAATCTTAATTATTAAATAATTATAGTATGAATTAATGTTTTATAAATAAAATCAATTCTCTCTAATTAACAATTTTAATTACTTGAGAACGTAAATTTCTATTGAAGTTATTTCTCAAATTATTTTATACGAACGTGTTACAATACTATATAAAATATTATTAAAAAAAAATTAAATGAAACATTAACTAAACAATGCACAACTTGATGTTAAACATTTTAACCTAAGCCTATCATTATTCAGGTGATGTAAAGGCAATTTTAGAAATTGATTTGTTATTCTATTTGCTAAACGTACAACAACAAAAAAAAAAACATTAAACTGTACTTCAGAATATTTGATTACTTTAACCCGGGAACCTAAAAAACCAACTCTGAATATTTTATCGATAAATAAACGACGATTGACGTAAAACATACGCAATAGATTGAAATAGATTAATTAATCTAATTAGATTCTAAATTTCGTTCATTATAATAAGTTAAAATATGCGTTCAATTGGTTCAAAACACATAAATGTAAATTTTATGTTCTTAAAGATAACAATTTTAAATAATAAATTGATTTGTGAAAACGCTTTGTGTTTTTAAACCATTTTTGGTGTTGAGAAATTGTTAAAACTAATGAAAAATCTATAAAAATAAAATATGTTCTAAACGAGAAAAGAAAATAAGAATTAATTGTTAAAAACTTTCTTTTCGCTATTATGGAGTTTATTATAATGCATAGAAAATTTCTGTTTAACTAAATTACTCTTAATATGCTTGTATTTTTATATAAGGAATAATTACAAATATTGTACATAGAAAAAATATTCTCATTTTAGTTAAAATCATTCGTTAATTAGGCTAGAAGTTTTGGCAGAAGAAGAAAATTAATAGAAATATGTTTCGAAAATGTTGATGTTAGAAATTTATTGAATGCAGAAGACGATGGTTTTTCAGTGAATGATTTAGATAAATCATGTTAGCAACGAAGACACAGAAAATGATGACGAAATTAAAGAAGTTCTTGCGGATAAATGCTAAAAATCTCCATTATACCCATAGTATTTTTACCTCTGACGAAATATTTCTGTAGAACATGACCAATTCGTTAATCGAGGTATTTTAAAATTAATACCTGAATGTGTGTAGATTTGACTATTAGTCAAATATATTGGATAAGTTAACCTCCAGAATATTCTTAAGTAAAACAACAAATATATTTTTTTTTCGTAGTATAATGATTATTTGTATAAGCATTAAATATAGTGAGGGCTTTAAAATATGTATATTTGATTTAATTTTAATTAAAAAACGATTAGTCAATAGTCGTAATTAAACTAAAACTAAATAGTGTCCTTGTAAAATCCTAATTTGATCAGAAAACCATAAAATGTTAAAAAAAAATCATTGAAATGGATGAAGAATTGGGATGAAGGTTATTTTCTGTTTCGCATAATTCAATAATTCTTCTAAAAATTTAAAGCTATATATTAAAATTTAATTCATTATTACTTTATTAACTTAAGTTAAGTTTTTGCGGACGATATCGTTTTTCTTTATTGGAGCAACTTAAAAGGAGAGATACAGAGACTGTGTCGTTTCGGAGAGAGATGTTGATTTAATTATCCGCATATGTGTAGTGAATTTGAGCCAATTAATTTTTTCAACACGTTATTAGTAGCCGGTCGATAGCAGGTGGCTTTCTGTACCATAAAAGATATTTATGTGATTCACCGCAAAACGGGGTCCGTGTCCATGTTTCTCGTCTCGTCTCGTTTTTCGTCCTTTTCCATCTCATCATGCAAACACAGCATCAAGTATCATGCTACATTTGAATGACCAGGATGCGAAATTTAGCATAAACAGTATACATCCGAAAATGTATCAATAAATCAATCTAACGATTATTCTCAATGGATTTCTAAACATCTACGACTCCCATTACTAATGTGACCTAAAATACAAGAATCATTAGCTTATTTCTGTTAATTATTTCATAAATGTAACGCATCTGCTTTTATACCTTGATTTTGTTTTAAATTAGTTTACAATTAGCTATGAACAATCCATATGTTTATTAATTATTTGTTATAAAAGAAATTTGGTTCAATCAAAACAATTGCCACTTAATTATAAAACTGTAATTTCACACCAGTTATGTTAATCAAAAATAGTGAAACCAATTTATTTCCTTCATTTCTTATAAGAAATCAAGTTTGTCTAATAAAATTTATTTTTTATATGTTAAATATAAAATATGTAATTCTTTATTTGCAATAAGTTCGTAGTAAGTTTATGTTTGTAATGTATAGTAATTTGTACAAACCGCCAACAGTATCGAATATCGAATATAGTTTTACCTTCGAGTTGGGTTTAAGATTTCATAACAGTTTTTATGGCTTCCACTAAAACCGATGATAAATTTGCTCAGAAAATCCATTGCATGCGAAGAACTTTAAATATGATTGCGTTATTCATTCGCAGTTTAACAACACTCTTCATTGTGAAAATTATAAATAAGAGTTAATGCAATTTAAGCGGAATCGCTTTCTTCCGGTAATAGAAGAGTGAAAATTTAAAAAAATCATGTTCTAATGTTAATTAGATTGTTTCCATATTTATTAGCTTTTCGATACAATTATTACACGCTTGCAAAGAGGTAAATATTATAAAATAGAAGCCCGAGTAATTAATTTCTACGTTTAATAATAATGAAAAAAAAGAGAATAATT